AAATACCACAGCACCTGACACTTAGCATCACATCGGTGTTTGCTCCCATTAGTGTAGATATTGTCATTGTTATTTCCCAGGTGTTATTAGGAGGAGCCCGGTTCATGGTTTGTACCAGGTCCACGCTGCCTGTTAGTTTAGGTCACTTGATCCCTCAGCTCCCTCATTGCCTCCGGCATTTCTTGAGGGGCCTAGAGTCCTAAAGCAACAGGGCAGCACTGTCCTCCCTCTGCCCCCCCCAGCAGCCCCCAGCCCCGCTGCCTCCCAGCTGCGTGACCCCAGGGCCAGTCATCTGACCTCCCTGGGAGGCCTGGCCCAGGAGCCTGGCCCGGTCTTCCTCCAGAGCGTGGTTGTGGAAAGCAAATGCAGTAATGAATGGAAAGCCTCTTTGTGAACTTCAAGTTAGTACAAACAGAAAGGATTGTCATTAAAAGCAACAAGTCCCCCACTGATGAGAGCATTTCTTTGGGGAAAGGAACAAAATAGCACTCAGTCTTAAGTAGGACCCTCATGGCAGTGGGAAGCTCGCGACACCTCTGTGGGGAGGGGTGACGTCTTTTAAGGCGCCATTAGTGTCGTAGTTAATGGTGACAGAGCACCGGGGCCGTGGCCATGATGGTGTTTCCCTCTGTAATTGCATTCACCTCGAAACCCACAAGGAGCAGCAGGTTCCAGCGGTCATTGTTTCATTTGAAAAACTAATTGGAAGTGGAGAGAGCCCTCGGATTTGGCTCTTGTTGGGACGAGCGCAGGGACGGGATGAGCAGGTGGGTCCAGGAGGAAGGAGGGGTCCCGCGCAGGCCAGGCGCCTCTCCCATTCAGCAGCCGCCCCTTTGTTCCCCGCCTTGGCCGGTCCCCGGCCTGCCTCTCTCTCGGTTGAAGTGGACGGCCTGCCCTCAATGGCCAGCCTTCTCTTCTGGAGGGGCTTTTGTTCCCCTTTGTTCCGGGCAGCTCCTCAGCAGAGCCAGCCCGGCCCTCTGCAGAGCAGTTCCCACGCCTCGCAGTTCTTCTCGGGGCTCCCAGGGAGAGCAGGTGGTCTGAACCCTGAGAAGAACCAAGTTGTTTGTACGGTTCTGGTGCCGGGAGACTGGAGACCTAGTTTCCAGGCCCTCGGGACTTGGATGGGGCACATCCCTTCCCTGGTGGCAGCGTCCTGGGCTAGAGAACGAAGCGGGTGGGGTTGTTCATCTCCAAGTCCCGTCAACTCTAAGATGCCTTGATTCTTTTTGCACTTTCAATCAAAACAGACACCCCATCTTCCACACTTTCCAGTTGTCGATTTTTTAGGTTTCATTTACGTACAGCAAAATGCACAGATCTTAAATGGACAACTCAATGAATTTTTGTACATATAAAAATCGGTATAACTGGTATAACCACTACCCAAATCACAATATAGACCCCCAGAAAGTTCAATCACCCTGGGTCATCACTGAGGCAGGGACCTCTGGTGAGTGGTGCCAATTCTCCGCTTCCCTTTATAATAAAATTTCTCAAAAAAAAAAATTGTCTCTACCAGCTCCATCCAATAGAAATACAAACCACCTGTTCTAGTAACCATGATGAAAAAGTAAAAAAGAAACAGGTAAAATTAATTTTCATATATTTTATTTAACCCAATATATCTAAGATATTGTCATTTTAATATGTGATCAATATAAATATTGACATATTTTATATTCTTTTTCATATTAGGTCTTTGAAATGCAGTGTTTCTTTCACACCTAAAGCGAATCTCAGTTTGTACGAGCCGAGTTTCAAGTGTTCCACAGCCACCTGTGTGCAGTGGCCACCACGCCAGCCAGCCAGGTCTATACTCGCATGCTCTGATTCCTCTTCTCCCGTTCTCTCTTGAACCCACTCAGATCAGACTTTGACCCCTACCACTTCACCCACTTTGTTCCTGCCAAAGTCACCAGTTGTTTCCACGGTCCCTCCCGTGGTCAGTTCTCAACTGACTTGACCCGCGGGAGCAGCATTTCGCAGAGCGGATCAGCCCCTTCTTGAAACGCTCCCTTCAGTTGGCTGCCGGGTCCCTCCCTGGAGTGGTTTTCCTGTCACCTCACTGCCTGCTCCTTCTCAGCTTCCTTTGCTGGTTCCTCATCTTTCCTCCAAACTTTAAATGTAGGAGTGCCCTGGGGGTCAGTCCTTGGACTTCTCTACACACTCTGTGCCCTTCCTGGGTGACCTAACCCAGGCCCTTGACTTTAATCACCATCTAGATCTGTGGTCCCCAAACCCCCAGCCATGGACTGATACCAGTCTGTGGCCTGCTAGGAACCGGGCTGCACAGCAGGAGGGAGCAGCAGGTGGTGAATGAAGCTTCTTCTGTATTTACAGCTACTCAGCCTCCTGTCAGATCAGCAGCAACATTAGGTGCTCATAGGAGTTCTGCGAAATCCACTGTAAGCTGCGCATGCGAGGGACCTAGGTTGCGTGCGCCTTATGAGACTCTGATGCCTGATGATCCGAGGTGGAGCTGAGGCGGTGATGCTAGCGCTGGGGAGCAGCTGCAAATACAGATTATTATTAGCAGAGAGGTGTGACTACGCAATGAATGTGATGCTCTTGGATCATCCCAAAACCATCCCCTGCCCCAGACCATGGAAAAATTGTCTTCCATGAAACTGGTCCCTGGTGCCAAAAAGATTGGGGACTGCTGGTCTAAATGGTGACAGTTACCAAACCAAACCAGCTGTCCAGACCTCTCTCCTGAACTCCAGACTTGTACTCCCCTGTGCCCACTCAGCATCCTCGCCTGGACCTTTAATCGACACCTCACACTCAACATGCAAACTCCTAATACTCTCCCCACCCCAACCCCTGCTAAGCGCTGAGTGGCAATTCCCTCCTTCCAATTCCTCAGGCCAAAAACTTGTGAGTCATTCTTGACTTCCCTCCAATCCCTACACCCTATCTGTCAGCAAATGGGTTCTACCCTAAGAATATATCCAGAATTGTACCTTTTCTCAGAGTGCTTTTTTTTTTGAGACAGGGTCACATTCTATTGCCTGTGCTCTAGTGCAGTTGCATCATCATAGCTCACTGCAACCTCAAACTCCTGGGCTCCAGTGATCCTCCTGCCTCAGCCTCCCGAGTAGCTGAAACTACAGGTATGTGCCACCACGCCCAGCTAATTTTTTTATTTTTGTAGAGACAGGGTCATTCTCACTATGTTGCTCAGGCTTGTCTCAAACTCTTGGCCTCAATTGATCCCCTGGCCTCAGCCTCCCAAAGTGCTAGGATTATACCACACCTGACCTCTCAAAGTGACTTTAAATATATAGTAAGTCAGATCAAGTCATTTTGCTTAAACTCCACCATGGCTTCCATCTCACCAAGGGTGGGATCCAAATCCTAATCCTGACCGCGTTAAACAAAATTTATAGGAGGCCACTGTTTAGCACTGAGCTCCTGCACTAGGTGCCAACAGACCAGACCAAACGGAATGGAGTCACTTGTGCTAGGTGCCATGTAATCAAACTGAACTTTAAATTGATCCAGTTTTCAAAAAAAACAGAAGATTCACAGCAACCTATCAGAAGAGGCCCAGGCTACCTGAGCCAGCATAATAAAGAAGTCCTCTCTGCTTTAACCCTACAAGGAAAGTAACTTTGAAGGGACCAATCTACTTTTCATTCCCTGTTTCTGCTTCTTTGGCCGTTTTTTGCATATAAAGCCCACCTCTGCTCAGCTCATTGGAGCTCCCTGTAGGAGGCTGCCCAATTCATGAATCATTAATAAAAGCCAACTAGCTCTTTAAAACTCAATTTGTGGCCGGGCGCTGTGGCTCACGCCTGTAATCCTAGCTCTTGGGAGGCCGAGGCGGGCGGATTGCTCAAGGTCAGGAGTTCAAAACCAGCCTGAGCAAGAGCGAGACCCCGTCTCTACTATAAATAGAAAGAAATTAATTGGCCAACTGATATATATATATAAAATTAGCCGGGCATGGTGGCACATGCCTGTAGTCCCAGCTACTCGGGAGGCTGAGGCAGAAGGATCACTCTAGCCCAGGAGTTTGAGGTTGCTGTGAGCTAGGCTGACGCCACGGCACTCACTCTAGCCTGGACAACAAAGCGAGACTCTGTCTCAAAAAAAAAAAAAAAAAAAAACTCAATTTGTTAAAATGTTATTTTTCAGCACGTCCAAAGGTCCTTAGGAGCTGTCCTCCTGCTCCCTCTTGGCCTCCTTTCCGTCCACGCACACCCTCGCCCTGCTCCAGCGAGCCACGCTGACCTCCTGCGAGCCCTCCTTCCAGCTCCCGCCTCAGGGCCCATTGCTGGGTTTCACTCCGCCTAGAATGCTCTTTACCCAGATATCCGCAAAACCAGCTCCCTTTCTTCCTCAGGTCTTTACTCAAACGTCACATCATCAGTGAGGCCTTCACATACATACCTCGTGGATAAAATAATACCCTCCAGCACTCCCCGTGCCCTTCCAGTTTTCTCCCGTGCACTTGCCACCATCTGACATATTCTGTATTTTGTGGTTTTTTGTGTCCTCTCCCCCTCAACATTGGCATATAACCTCCACGAGGTCAGGGACTCTGTTGCTCATCACTGGGGTCTCCCCAGTGCCGAGAACAGTACCTGGCATGTGGTGGGTGCTCTGTAAATGTTTGTTGAGTGAATAAATGGTATTGCTGATAGATGAGCAAGTCACCAGTGGAGGAAGGACGACTGTGACCCAGGGTGGATAAATATGTTTCAGAGCCTGGTTCTGGGCTGGACTGCCTGGGTTTGAATCTCAGCTCTCACACCTGCCAGCCATGACCGTGGCAATTTGATTAAGCTTTCTGTGCCTCAGTTCCTCATCTGTGAAGCAAGGAGGATGCCAATGCCTGCCATCAGATTGTGCACGGAGCATGTGAGGTTGGCACTGTGTGGGTGCTTGGTAAATGTTAGCTTTTTTTTTTTTTAGTATATCTGGTAATACCACTTTGGGAAATGTAACTATGTAAAACACATAAAAAATTAGGCTGAAGATACAAGAAAATTTACATGCAAACCAGGATGGGGGAATTTTATTGTATTTGCCAAGGAAAGAGTAGGTCAGCGATGAGAGAGGATTAACTGGGTCCAGTTGTATTTTGGCTACAGGTAGCCTAAGCCACAGGAGGAGTCTTCATCCTTGGAAATTCCTGCTGCAGAAAGAAAGATAACGCTCAAGCCGGGGGGTTGAAGTAAGGGTGAGTGGGGGCAGGACACCTACAGCCAGGGTGACGGCTACTCCAGCAGCAGGAGGTGGCTGTTTGGGTTCCAAAGGAGGCAGCGTGGGGTGGCGGGAAGGAGCCTCGTGTGTGTTAGCAAAGCGAATCCCAGTGCCAGCCCCTGCTCTGCCAACTGGCCTCCACCGAGACCCTAGGCCAGTCCCTTCCCCTTCCAGAAGCCACCTCCGATCCCCAGACGGGGTCAGCTTCCTCCAGCCTCCCACTCGCCACAGCCTTAGTCTCTTCTCGCTGATCACAAATTGAGTAACTGACTGTATGAGAACTTGTTTAGTTCCTGGCTGCCTCGGTGCACTATGAGTTCCATAAGAGCAGGGGCCACTGCTGTTCTGTCCTTGCTCTACCCCGGCCCAGAGCTGGCACGTCGAGGTCACCGGATGGCCGTGGGAGGGTGGCTAACCCTGAACCTCGGTTTCCTTCCAGGGCTGGCAGGCAGACACGGGCGTGGGGTGCGGGAACACGCCCTCCCTCCCACGCACGCTGCACCCGCAGGCAAGAGAACTCAGCCCTATTGCTGCCCTCTCGCCCACCAGCGAGGTCCTGGTGTTTGCAGCAGTTGAGCTGGAGGGGGAACAATGGCTGTAGCAGCCTCCAGGCCCCTTCCTGCCAGCTCTGTGATCCGGAGCTCCGGCTTTTAACCTGTGGGAGCTAAGCCTGTGTTCTGAGGACTCGGCCCTCCTGGGGCCCATCCAGCCTACCAAGCCCATAGCAGGTGGATGATTGCCTAACCCCACGTGAGAGGCATCCTCTTAGAGACATTACTTTAGAATCCTAGCCTTGGGGACCTTAGAGGTGGCCAGAACGGACCCCTCTTTTCATGGAGGAGGACGCTGGGAAGGCTGCTGGGAGCAGCAAGCAGGGCGCAGAAGCAGGCTGGGCTCAGGTGTCCATGCCGCCTCCCCGCCAGGTTCTCGCCTCTCCTGTCTCTGCGGCAGGCCTGCCGCTGCTTGTGTCTCCGCAGGGCTGGACACAGTGGCCTCGCTGGGCTCGGGGTTTCTAATTAAGTTGGAAAGAAGGTGAGACAGCACATGGAGAGCTCTGTTGTGAGGGGATTTGCTTAATATACGGGTCCAGAAGTGCCAGGCAGAGTCACACTGGGACATGTTTGTGCTCACAGTTTAAAATCAGGCTCTGAAAACCAACAGAGTTTCTCCAAACAGTTATGTCATTCTTGGGAAACGTTGTCCATGAAGTGGAGTTTTGTGGGAAGAAGTTCAGGAGGCAAAGCAGGTCTTGGGCCTGCAAGTCCCTGACCTGGGGCCAGCTGCTGCCCCTTCCTTGCCTCACTTTTCCTCTTCTGTAAAATGGGAAACCTCATTTCTGATCTTCCCTGACCCCTAGTTGGAATGTGGGGGCCAGGGAGATGGGGAATAGCGGCTGTCACTGGCTCTCCTCTGATGACAGTGTGTCTGCACACTCCCGGGATGTGGCAGGCTGGTTTGTCTTTGGTTTTATAGTTCTTTGAACTTGGCAAGGGATCCAGGGCATGCCTCTCAGATCACCTGCATCAGGATCCTCTGGGACTCTTGATTCAGGTTTCTGGGTCCTATCCCAGAGCTATTGAGCAAGTAACATCTTCGGGCACAGAGGCTGAGCCTGGCCTCTGGCTACACACTGAGACACAGCAGCGGATAAGCTCGGTCTCCATTGTCCATTTGCTCCCCTTCTGCTAGTTCTTCATGTGTGTAAGGAGGGACTGTGTTCTCGGTTTGCTTAGCAGAGCCCCACACCTTTGGAGAGGAGGGGCTTCTTTCCTATTCCTGGCAAGGGAAGGAGGCCCCAAGGTCCCTAGACACACACACACACACACACACACACACACACACACACACACACACACACACCCTACCTGTGCTTCTGCAGCAGGGCCACCAGGACGCTCTCCAGTGCCATTTGCTTTTGTTCTGCCCACACACCGTCTACCTGACGGCCAAGCCGTACCCTTGCTCCTTGCTCCTGGTTTCTCTCTCTGTGTGGTTAGAAAAAGAGAAATAGCTGAGGTTGCTATTTGGGTAGGATGGGGAGAGGCAGGAAGTGGAATATGCCCATTCCAATATCTGGTGTGGACTCTTCTACCCACCTGAATTCGATTCAGCAACATTTAGGGAGGCAGTATATACATGGCAGGGAAGAGTACAGCAGTACCAATGTGCACAGTTGCAAACTGTCTCTCCACAGATTGTTAAATATAAAGGAGAAAATATTAATTTTACAGAGGAGAAACCTGGCAGACACCATGTTAAATGAGTGATCAAAGTTACCATCCACCAATACTGGGACAAATTGACATCCTGTGCCTCAAGATATCGTGCTCTGAGGAGGACACAAGACCCCTTCTGTGGATGCACAACCTGAATCTAATCATGAGGATGTGTGCAACAAAGTCAGCGTGAGGAGCACTCTATAAATCATTAGCCTTTACTAATCAAAATGTCAATGTCACGAAAGGCCGAGGAACTATTCCAGATTAAAAGAGACGTGACAAGCCGGGCGCGGTGGCTCACGCCTGTAATCCTAGCACTCTGGGAGGCTGAGGCGGGCGGATTGCTCGAGGTCAGGAGTTCGAAACCAGCCTGAGCAAGAGCGAGACCCCGTCTCTACTATAAATAGAAAGAAATTAATTGGCCAAATAATATATATAGAAAAAAATTAGCCGGGCATGATGGCGCATGCCCAGTAGTCCCAGCTACTCGGGAGGCTGAGGCAGAAGGATTGCTTGAGCCCAGGAGTTTAAGGTTGCTGTGAGCTAGGCTGACGCCACGGCAGGCACTCACTCTAGCCTGGGCAACAAGCCAGACTCTGTCTCAAAAACAAAACAAAAAAAAAAAAACTGAAAAATGTACAGGCTGTAGGGTCAGGCTGTTTGGATCCTAACTCTGCCACTCATGGGTTGCGTGTCCTTCAGAAGCTCTACACGATGGGGGTAGGAGTCCCTACTTTGTAGGGTTGTTACAAAGATCAGATGAGAAACTGAGCACAATGGCTGACGCTGCCAAGGGCTTCCTGTGTGTCCAGCACTGTCTGCAAATGTCCCAGCGCAGAGCTTGTGTTTTGGCGCAGAGTCATGATCAGATAGTACCTACCGTCAGTATCGTTGCCATAGGAGCCTAGCCTGGGAAGGAGGTGCAGAGGTAAGTTGAGGTTTAACACGGGGGCCCTTCTGCTATGGAAGGTTCGGAAATGACAGTTGCTGACAGGAAGAGACCAAACTTGGCCTCTGGCCTCTTGCAGTGGGACTTCCAAACTCGGATGCACAGGGGTGTGGGAAGAAATCACTAGAACTTCTGCTCACCCCTGCTGCCTGCTCATGATGTCCTGGAGCAGCTTGCGGGTGGACAGCTGGCCCAGCACCTTTCGGTAGCTGTTGGTGAAGATGGCATCTGCATACCGCCGCATCCTGTGTCGAAGGAGTCAGAGGTCAAAGGGCGGTGCAGGGGCCAGGCAAAAGGACAGCAGGGGCTGCATTCACCATGTCTTGGCAAGATCCTTCTATTGCCCTTCGTCCCACTCACCCCCAGAGAGACTTGGCCCCTGGCTGAGCTGAGAAATAGCCGGGCCAGTGGAAGGCTTGATCCTGGATCCTCCAACGCCCGCCCCAAGGCAGGGACCCTTGGGGATGGCTGGAATCCAGGTGCTGCTTACCTGAGGGGCAGGGAGGGGGGCAGGGAGCAGTGGGAGCCGCTGCTGAGGGTGAGGATCACGAAGAGGAACACCCAGAGCGGCATCCTTCACCCCTGGGGGGGCACCTGCAGAACGACAGGAGGGGAAGGTCGGGCGCAGCCTTCGTCCTTGTCCTTTGGAAGCTGTGGATTGGGAAAAAGAACCCAGACTCAAGTTCAAGGGTTCAAGTTCTGCCTCTATCAGTCACCAGCTCTGACTTCATTTCTCTGTCTGTGAAAAAGGCATGATAAAGTTCCCCTGCAAACCTCACAGGGTTGAAGCGAAAACCAACAAAGATATAAGGCATTAGAGACGGGATTTGGGCCTCAGAGAGGGAGGAGGAGGAGAAAGCACCTTCCTGGGGGTCCCTTCTGTCACCCTCATCCAGTGTGGCAGGGAGCAAGCAGGGAGCAAGGTCAGTTCTAAGTCACACAGACCTGAATTCAAATCCTGGCTCTGCTGTCACTAGCTGTGTGTCCCAGGACAACACCTCTCTGGGCTTCCTCAACCATAAAATGGGGTTGGTGACTCTACTTCCTGCATTGGGTCCTTGTGAAGATCAGGTGAGCTGAGACACGTGAGTGAATAACTTGGCACATAGGGAATTCTCCATAAACCTTCGCTGTGGTTACTAACATCGACCCACTCAGTGGGCAGGTGCACCCTGTTTGTGTTCCATGTGGAGATGAAGGGAGGGGACAAAGGCTGTGTGTGCATCTTGCTGCAGTCGCTGAGATTTTGCCGAGGAGTTTTAGTCTGGGAAGAGCCCAGAGATCCCGGGGAGCCAGCATGGCAGCATCATGTCATAGATCATGTAATTACCCGTAATTGGGGCCTGTCGACACTGTGCTCTGCATTAGGGCAGGGACAGTCAGCAGGGGACAGAGCCTGCCTCAGCAGGGGAAGGTGCCACTGCTGGCCACCCTGACCCCTCCCGGAATGGAAATGTGGCTGGCCTTGAGGGACTCGGCCACCTAGGAACTGGGTCTTCCCCTCTCCCATGGGCACCCCCTCTGCCAGCAGGATGTCTACGCCATGGGGACACAGACCCAGCCAGAGGCCCCGCCAGCCCCAGGAGACCAGCACTCCCTCCTGTCCCCCATAACTTCACAAGCACCCCCAGTTCCAGTCCTGCAGAGGAGCAATTTCCTGCAGGCAGGACCAGCACTGGCAGCGTCCACCTGGCGTTTCTGGGCTCACTTGCCCTCTCAGGGCATCAATCCGACTCTTGGCAGACACTAGGGTCTCCCCTAACCCAGGAGTGCCTTGGGCCTCTGGGCAGCACCCATGGGGACTGCTCCCTGTGGCTTGAGACACCCCCCCCCCGCACCTCCAGAGCTGGAGGGAGCAGCACTCCAGGCCTTGGGGTCAGGCCCTCCCTCCCCCGCGTGCACCCCACACACACTGCAGTTCCCCAGTTCCCGCTCGAGCAAACACTTGCTGCCAGGGAATGACAAGGCACTCACTATCCTGCAGCCAGTCTGCCCTACTTCCAGGCAGTTCTTATTGTTAGGAAGTTTTTCTCATCATGTCAAGCCCAAATCCCCTTCTCCTGCAAAGATTTGTTCAGCCTGTACTATTCCAACAAGTACCGGGCCAGAGAAAAGATGAGAACACGGTGTCTGCCCCCGAGGGCTGGCTCCTTAATGTCCACGTGCCCTGCCACCCAGCCCTCTGCACCTGCAGCCACACGAGCCCTGTAGATTCATTCTGTGTCTAGATTAAGCCTTTGCCCTCAGATCTAGGATCTGCAGTCTTCTGTCCTCATCACACCTTATCTCATCTGGCTCCCCTCTCCCAACCTTGGCCAGGCTGCTGCTCCAGAAGTTTCCTAAGCAGGGAGATCTTTGGAGGCAAACATGGGCCCGTGACACAAACCACTGCTTCCTCTGTCTCCAGCTGCAGCCTGGCTCCCTCGCTTCTTTGCCGCTGATCTTTGAAAGATTTGGGCATATCCAAGTCCCTTGCTAGTCACCTCACTCCCCTGCTCTGAGGCCTTGGCTCCCTGCTCCTTTCAGAGTGAAGCCCAAACCCTTCCTCTTGGCCTGAGCTGTCCCCCTGCCTCCCCACCTCCTGCCCCTTCTCCCTCGAGCTGGCACAAGCGATTCCCAGCCCCTGAGCCCGCCTGGGCGGCACAGCCCGCCCTTGCACTCGCCCTCTGGAGCAGGTATCACCATCCTCATTTTACAGCCAAGGAAACAAGCCCAGAGAGGAGAAGGGCCTTTTCCCATGGTCCTCCATCCAATTACTTTCAGAGTGGGCACTTCAGAAGGGGCCTCCCCATTCCCAGGCCAGCAGACTTCCTCCTGCTCCGAGCCGCAGCCTCCCAGATACAATACCCTATTCACAGCGCTCCCCATTCATGGGGCGCTTCAGAATTCATCACCTGCACATGGGAAACGGCTCTGAAAAAAAAAATAAAAAACAACTGAAAGCTTTTGCTCTTTGTCATTGGGCCTCTGGGGAAGAAAGAATGGGGACAAACAGGAACACCTGCTTGACTGGCACCTCCCTATGCACACCGAGTGGCTTCGGGGAGCCGAAAATAACCTTAGAAGAGGGCAGACTCTGGGGGGCAAGGCACAGTAAATACAGTAACACCCCCTCATTCAACTTGAGGCTAAGCGACTGCACAGTCTGGTTAACCAGGGGGCTCAGCATTTGCCAGAAGCCATGTGTCCGGGGAGAGATCAAGACTCCACGGGGTTGCAAATCCCACTGGACAAAGACAGGGAAGAATAAGAATTATCCAGCTTAGGGTAAGATAAGAATAGAGGTTGTGTTACCAAGGATAAAAGAGCCGTTGACAGACACATTCCCCATGACAACCTAAGGAGCCAAAATTCACTGAATTAATAGAACACGAATCCAACAGCATCACTGACAGCGCTTTGATGACTGAAGGCGTTCTAGAGTTTATAATCTATCAGTACGAGCATCTGTCGGCTCTCTGTGGTGCATATGCGTCCTGCGATTAGATATATTTGAGGTTGTCTAGAATCAGGGTTAATGGGCACTTGATCGACATCAGTTGGCACCTTTCTCCAGCCTTCATGCCACGGATGCCATTAGAATTCCGCAGATATGAAAGACAGAGGCCCGCTCCCCAAGTGCCCAAACTAGCAAGACCACTATTGAAAACCTAGGGAAAGAAAATCTCTAACCTTTCTTAAATATTCTGCATTGACACTTGAGAACCCCAAAGCATTGACATCTTGATCCAGTTTATAAACTGTTTCACCACCAGGGTTCCAAGTGGAAGGGAATTGAGGTATTTAATGAGGAAACATCTTGAACTGTCAAAAGAGTGACACCACCACCCCACCACCTCCTTCCAGAAAGGGGTTGAGATGGCTTATGGGGAAAGACACAAATATTTCAGGACCATTAAGCAAGGATCAGGAGACAGGCATGGGGTAAAAGGGAGGGCTCCAAGGGTAGATAATTGTGTCTAAAACCTTTAGTAAAGAGTTGGCTGCAACTGAGCAAGAAAGCAAAATGTCATCGATTTCCAGGCGATTACACTGAATTGGTGCTGAGCAGTCGATGAGTGGTATTGATTTGCACAGCCGCTTAGCTCCTCTCTGACCCATGGCAGAATCTCATCGTTGACAGAATAGAGCCAATTCGTGTATAGCCCCAGAAGCTGTCCCTGTACATACCTTGAAAGAGCACTGAGACCTCACTTGCCCCTGACAGACACCTGGAGCAGATCTGCCCGCCACCTGTCCCTGAGTTCAAGTGCTACACACCCAAGACGAGCCCCAAATGGCACCAGGCATCGAAAGGATGTTCCAGAGCCCGTAGCGAGGGGAAATGTTACCCAGGCCAGCCCCCAGGGCCACCCCCTCACCTCCGACGTGGCAGGTCTCCCTCTGCTCCGAGGCGCTGCTCCAGTTTCTCGGGCCTCGGGCCGGGCGTTCGCTGGGCGGCTGCGTGGCTCTGCTATCATTTATACCTTCATTTTCCTAAGTGTTGTCAGCGTCAGAGAGTCAATTACCCACATGTCAACCGAAGGACCATTTTTAGCATCACGCCAACAAGCCTTAATCAGGGAAAGAGGTTTGCCCCTTGCAAATGAAGACTTCTATTGAACTTTATCTTTGAGGGGGCGGCAGCGTACGAAGTTGCGATATTATTCCGGGAGGGACAGAGAATATAACACCGCCACCCTAATAATCGGAGCACTCATAGCAGTGAAACACCAAGGGTTCATTTATTCTCCAAGATAAATGTGCCTTTTAAAAAGTTCTTGGAGTTCAGTTTTGTCCATGTGTAATGTAACTTTATTGCACTTTGGGGGCAGCCAACATTACAAATAAGTGTTTTTCTCTCCTTAGTGAGGAAGATTGCTCACCATCTCCCTTGCTGGCCAATTATCAGTATTTTCTTCTATTTGATTTGGGCCTGCTGCGGGCGCAGGCCGGATCGACAGCTCACCCGGGGAGCCTCCATCCTCGGGCTCGGTTGCCTCTGAGAAGTGTGAAGTGAGAGGAAAGAGATGGGAAGCCTGGGGAGAGTTGCTGTGTTTCCAGATTTCTCTAGCCGATAGCTAAGACATCCTCCAGACCGACATGAAAGCCTGTGAGGCAGCAGCTCTGGTTCCAGGCAGCCGTTGCAGAGGTGCAGAAAGAGCTGGAAGCCTCTGAGTCGAGAGACCTATGCCTCTCCCTAGCCTGTCAATCACGACCTCTCTGACCCTCAGCAAGTTACTTCTCCCCTCCAGGCCTCAGTTTCTCTACGTGAACACTTGAGAGTTGGCATAGAACAGCAACTTTCTTTTTTTTTTTTTTTTTTTAGACAGAGTTTCACTTTGTTGCCCAGGCTAGAGTGAGTGCTATGGCGTCAGCCTAGCTCACAGCAACCTCAAACTCCTGGGCTCAAGCGATCCTGCTGCCTCAGCCTCCCGAGTAGCTGGGACTACAGGCATGCGCCATCATGCCCGGCTAATTTTTTCTATATATATTAGTTGGCCAATTAGTTTCTTTCTATTTAGAGACGGGGTCTCGCTCTTGCTCAGGCTGGTCTCAAACTCCTGACCTTGAGCAATCCGCCCACCTTGGCCTCCCAGAGTGCTAGGATTATAGGCGTGAGCCACCACGCCCAGCCAGAACACCAACTTTCGAACTTTTAAACAAGTGGCATAACCCATTCTTTGGAAATCTTCTACAATGCACAGTGTAGACAACAGATTTTAAAATCTGGCTGCTGTGGTTGAGGAGGGGGGAATAGAGACCCCCTTTGCCTGCTCCTGGGGTACTTCTATGGGTCACAGTTGGAGGCCGGTAGTGTGTGGGGTCCTGCTAGTAATGGTATTTTGTGATTCTGTTTCTTTGCACTGAGCCATGTTCTTGGCGTTGAGCAGACATGGGACATTTCCCATCAAAG